AGCTCGTCCCGCTGCCCTCTCCTTCTTCAAGTTATGGAGAGTCCGATTGAAGTTGCTATCCAATGCCAGTAAGTCACCCGATTGGCTCCAGGTTATGAACTAGACCTGCCACAAGCTAATAAAAAACAACCCTTCAAAGCAAAGTTGGGATATGATCAAAATGAAGAAAATAATAGCTAAAGTAACATATGTTCACTTTTCCTAATAATCTAGTCATTCCCCGACAATGTCGCCAAAAACTTCACTCGCTTTTATTAACACTCTAATCAGTGCCAAAGTGCAACCACATATCAGAGAGTAGTATAGTGGAATTAAGTTTTAATGTCAACCCGAAGTCTCTAGATGTACAATTACTGAGTGAAATGTCTATCATTTAGCAACATGTTTGTAGTGAAGTTTACTAAAACTAAGCAAACAAAGTAAATACAATTGGTAGGATTTTAGTTATAAGAAAATCACCGAGGTATGTGTCCCCCTAGCATGTAGTTAGGTCAAAGTTGCAAGTATTGTGAAAACCCATAGTGGATGTAAGTTGCTTGCATATATATGGATGGAACAGGAGAAGTCAAACGTTTGGATAATTATGTGAGGTGGGGAAAAGATTAATATATGTATATAAGTAGTGGGGTTGAATGTGTGTATTCTTAATCCTGATCAAGACAAAAAATGGGGAAAGCTAAAGTGATACGAAGTTAAGTATAAGGAATAAGATACAAATGTTCCGGGAAGGGTGATTAATTGGAAGGATTAAGTGTTTATAGACTATATGAACTTTTTATTAAGTTGTTCCATAATTAATTGCTCGTGTGTTAAACATGTTTATATGATTTATTAAGGGAAAGGAGGATGCCGGAGAATCATCAAAGCAGAAGGGTTTAGCAGAGTAATCGAGTAGTGAGTAATTCTTAACCTAATATATATTTTAGTATGGGCATGGTATTCGGGTCATGAAGCGGCCCGGATACGTGGATTTGTGATAGATCGATAAATGAGCTATGGATGAGTATAAGCTTATATGATGAGAATTGATAATGTGGATATGTACGAGTTTGATATTTTCAACGTGCATTGATGAATGAGCAATGTGAATAATGTATTGATGTGCAATTGAGATGATTGTGTATAGCATCAATGAGTATATGATATGATATGTGTGCATACGGGCTTATGATGAGATGCTTTACATGAGTATTTTCTAACCCAAGAACTACGTGGTCACCTAATAAAAACATAATGGCGCCTTGTTATGCACTCATGAAAAGAAAAAAAGAGTTATACGAGAACTCCCCATAAGGAGTATCGCCAGGCCTGGCTACGAGTTAACGAAATATGGCACTTCGTGCCCACGAGTTTACGAGTTCATGAGATATGGCACTTTGTGCCCACGAGTTTATGAGATTGGGCACTTTGTCTACGAGATCACGAGATTACGAGTTTACGAGATCCCGGGGAGTGCATAACTTGGCATTAAAAGTAAAATGTACATAATATAGTTAACTATGCTTGTGTTTGAGCCTTGGTACAAGGATTTCCTGTGATGTGGCTAAGTGATGTTTCCTACGATGTGTTCAATAGATTGTTCATGAGATTGAAGTATTTATGTGAAGGCTTTATTGTGATGTGTTCATGCAATGATTTATCATGAGATTGTGTAGTTGTTACATGCCTCCATATGTTGTTGATTATATGGTGATACCAAAATGATGTGTTAGTAAATGTTTCTACCTGGAATAGGGTGTGATATGAGTAACTCAAGGGTAAGCGTTTATGATATGATAACCGCTTAAATTGGTTAATGAACATTGCATACATAGGTTGGTAGAGTACCATTTAAACTACTAGATTCGTTAAGTGAGCTTAAGCCCTTGGTGTACCTAATCACCGAGCGCAACTGGAGTATATATTGGGTTATTAATTACTCATTGAGTGGCGTCTCACCCCCGCCAATATTTTTCCTTTTCAGAGCCAAAGAAACAGCAGAAGGCTCGGTCGAACCAGTGAAGTCAGCCAGATGGCTGAAAGGTGTGCGGCGGAACTGAACTCTCCATATGTTTTCACTTTTGAAGTCGAACTAAATGTTTTAACGCTTTTAAGCTTGTGTACCCACTGAATGTTAAACTACTATGTTGGGTTTGCACTTTGTTTTAAACTCAAACTTTGCACCGTTCGGTGTTCTGCTTTTGGATGCTTTGGGAAAACTAGCTTAAATTTCCTAAGCAGCTGATGTAACCCGTATGCTAGTGTTATATCCAGGTCTGAATGTGAAGTTAAAACCCAAGGTTTAATGAGTATATAATGTGATGATGTTTCCAATAGTACGAGAAGAAGTAGTAGGATGTTACAAGAAGTAGTAGGGTGTTACAAAACATGTTGCCTAAGAGCATCTCCATCAATGCAATTGCAAAAGAAATTGCATTTGTGTTTTTATTGTCAACTCAATTTTTTTGCAATCCACATAATATTCATTTCATTCACCTACATCAATGCAATTAACTTGCTATTGCAAATGTAATTAAATATTATGTTTAAATTATAGAGATTAATTAAAAGAGAAGAAAATAATATAAAATAAAAAAATATCCATTTTTTTAGTCTTTTTTTACTTGCATATGGAATTTCATTTGTTGCAAGCTTGCAAATATACAATTGATAGCCACATCAATGCAATTAGTTTTGCAATTGCAACCACCTATACCATGTCATTTTGCAATTGAAAATGCAATACCAATGTGGATGCTCTAAGTTCGGATTGCTTGGTCTTTATAGTGTTCCTTCTTGAGCTAGCCGTTGTAGAATGGTGATTTGATTGCTTGCAAATCTGCTCTAGTTTTCCTTCTTTGAGAACTCTCATTTATGCCTTGATTGCTTCATCGATTCTTTTCTTATTGACAAGCTTCACTCAACATGATCTAATGACAAAAAAAAAACTTATGAGGATATGAAGAGGAGTTAATGTTATATAACTAAATATAAATTATTTCCTAATAAAAGAAGAATCAGTAAAGTTGGGAACTCACATAAATAGAAAGAATCTTTCTCTTCTTACTAAAAAAAATTTCTCATAGTAACTCTTTTTTCATTTCTTACATCAATAACTCATGGTGGACGTAACTGAATAGAAGCAGTAGTCGATTTGTCACAACTTTATAAAAAGTGACAGCTGAACGAAAAGCTGGAAAAAAAAATTGAAAGAAAGAAAAGGGTTATTATTATTATTATTATTATTATTATTATGAAAAGGGTTATCATTGATGTTGTGGGCTTGTAGCCTTAGAGACTGGGCCACGGCCCGGCTCTTCGAACCTCTCATTCAGTCGTGGTCAATACTGCGTCTGCAGTACCCTTTGACCCAACATTTCGGAGCCCAATGCTCTTACGAACCCACTCAAGGAATTGCAGTTGGCTATAGGGGTGACTATACGGTCTGGTCTAATTAAATTGGCCTGAATTGATCCGGTTCCGATCCGATTTTTTTTGGAAATATAAGGACCAAAGATTGGATTAGATACAATCCGGTCTTGATTCGGTCCGGTCTTGACCCCTTTCGGTCCCAATTGGGTCTTGATTTTAGATTGAGCTTGTGGAAATTTGAGTGGCCTGAGACTTCAAAAGGTGAGGAGTTGGTTAAGTTTTGTGTTTGACCTCTCTTATTCGGTCTTTATCTGGTTTTCGATCCGGTTCCAAACGATTTTTTACCTCAAATCTAAACCCAAAAATGAGATTCAATTGTTTGCTCTCCGCTATTGATCCGATCCCGTTCCTAGTTATACGATCCGATTTCGAATAAACCCAAAAGTCCGGACCAAATAGTCAGCCTCCCAAGTCCCAACTCGCAAGGCGACCGGAGAGCGAGAAAGGCGAAATAATGGCAGAAGCCGGAAATAGCGGCGGTGGTGCGAGGAAGAGAAAAATGGCAGACAAGAAAGACGCCGGCGGCGCCCGTAAGTTGGCTCCTAACTCAAATTGGCCTGCCATCAAATCCAAGAAGAATCTTCAAATCACTCGTCTCAAAGATTCGGACCTCTTCACTGTACGTTTCTTCTATTCCTTCCCTCCTTCACCGATTCATTTGTTGTAGCTAAGCGTTGAATTTTGGGAACCTAGAGACTTGAGAATCAAGGTATTTGCAGCGGGCTTTTGAATTTCGTGGCTTTGAACTAGCTAAGACTGAATTAATGTTGTTTCTACTTTCTAGGTGCCAGAATTCTTGTCAGCAACTGAATCTAAGGCATTCATTAGAGCTGCAGAGTCGATTGGATTCGTCCATCAAGGCAGTCTTGGTCCAACGATGGGGGAAGCTTATAGAGACAATGACAGGATCTCCGTGAACGATCCGGTTCTGGCAAGCACGCTTTGGGATTCTGGGCTTAGCAAATTGTTCTCTGACATCAAGATTAGGGGCAAAGTTGCTGTTGGGTTGAACCCAAACATCAGATTCTACAGGTGAACTGTAGACAGAGAATCTCAGTTAAAGAATCTTAGGAGAGATCATATTATGTCATTACAGCTATAAGCTTTTGTTCAGGTACAAGGTTGGCCAGCGATTTGGGCGTCATATCGATGAGAGTGCGGACATTGGGGATGGGAAGCGCACTTATTATACGCTCTTGATATACTTGAGTGGCAGTTCTAAAGCCAAAGCTAGCAAGAGTGAGTTAGATAGTCAGAAGGATGCATCCATGGTGCCTCTAGTTGGAGGAGAGACTGTGTTCTATGGCTGGAGGAACAATGTGGTGGCAGAGGTGCCTCTCTTTTCTCTATGATCTGTGATCGTTTTGTATTTGTTTCTTTGACGGTGGTTTCAATTTCATTTGCATGACGAGTTATATTGGCATTCTTGTTTCTTACTCTGCAGGTGGCTCCCGCTGAAGGAATGGCTCTGCTGCATATTCATGGCGACAAATGCATGTTGCACGAAGCCAGGAACGTGTCGAAAGGGATGAAGTATGTGTTTCGATCCGATGTGGCCTTTGCTTGAACCATGAAATGTGTAAGTCCTGTACTTGTACACGAACAGAATCAGCAGATTGATTGCTCAATTTATTCAGTGTAGCTTTTCAGACTTACAGCCATAAGCTTGATAGGGCTCTCCACGATTGTAAGGTGTGTGAAAATTGTGTGCAATACAATATCAAAGGGAACGAAAGAAAGAAAGAACTAATCTGTGGAAAAAACATCTCAATTAGTATCAATTCACAGAAGCGCATTTGAGCCTAACCTCTCCCTTCTCAATCACACCAACATTCCCAAGCTTCACCATTGAAGCCGCAAACTCCCCAAAGAACAGACTCTGATCCTTGGCAAAGGCTTCAACGGTCGACTTGGTATTGTCATCGATGAACAATGCCTGGTCCGACCCGAATACACCTTTCCCTTGAGTGAGTTGTCTGAAGTACTCGTTATCAAAGATTGACGAGGTCGAGTCCAGGAATGTTCCTGCACTGCGGTCGGTGTGGGGCTTCCTACATTTCTTTCTCAGCACCTCTGCCAACTGGAGATTCATGTTGGGATCAACATCGTGCATCGAGCTGAAGTTGCGAATGCGATTTTGGAAAGAAGAGCAGTGTGAAAACCCTAGGGTGTGTCCTCCAGACAAGGCGACCAAGTCCTTGACTCCTAAGGCCCTCTTGGCAAAGCTCTGGATGAGTTGAGACACGTTGAAGGTTGGAGCTGGAAGATTGATAGTGTCGCTGGCTTTCGACACCCTTCCATCTTTCCTTCCTTTTAGCACGTCCCAGCTAGGTCCTCCAGACTGAAAATCAAAATCCCAATTACAAAAGCAAAGATCATTTGAGAAGCCAAAACTAGTAGACAACATAGTCAAGTTTTTTAATTCTCACTATGTAAGTTGCTAACTATTACCATGGTTACTACATCTCTGGCTGCTATAGCTATAACATCTGCACAAGAAACCGTCTGGGGGCAAGCCATTTCAAGTTTAGCTTTCGCATCGTCGATCACGTAGAATGACCGGACTGAAACATTGGGAGGGCCATCTTTTTCGGCTTGGTTTCCAGTAGTGGTGTCGAGCAGGATAGAGGCATCACAACCCTGTCAGGATAAACTCATCATTAAAATCCTTCAAACATCAAACTAAATCAGCAGTAACCATTAGAACCCCATGAAACTAAAACATATGGCTTTGTACTGTACCCTTATGAAACAATCATGGAAGAACATCCTGAGGAGGCGAGCGGGGACTTTGGGGTCATAGATGGAGGCGTTGCGAACCGTCTGCAAGATGATGGCCTCGGCCTGTGGACATGTTTGATCATAGTAATGCGAATCCAGCATCGCTCGAGAAGCCGGAATCGTAATCAAGAGCAAGGCCAAAGAGCAAACGACTCTGTAACTAGCCATGCTTGCTGTCAACAATGAAAGTTGATGAAGTTATCCGACCATAAACTGTACGTATATATAGTGATGGCGATAATGAAAAGAAAAGGAGCAGAATTTTATGTACTTTGAAGTCACTCAAAAGGCAGACTGAAGGCTACTGAGGCTGTCAATTTGGTTGGTTTTGGCTGTACTTGCCCAGTACTCTGTACTTTGTTAGTGCCATGAATATGTTAATGTAGGAGAAACTAAATGGGTTGGTGTATCTGATTTCTAGAGAAAGATGGGAGACTTGGGTTTGTGTGAAGCAAGTGCAATGTACAGCAAAACCTCTTAAGGGAGGGAGCTATGGTCAGGCTGACAAATGTTATGTTCTTGTTGTGGTTAAGGGCTGGAGATGAGGATGATTTCCCTTGTGAGCTAAGGCTTGGTTGAATGTGGAATCACGGATGAGAGTGATTAATACTAAAATACATTTGGTGCTTTGGGTGGCGGTTGGCTTATGTCCATCAATGATCTGGAAATAAGATCCCAGTTGGTGTGATTGAGGGAACACAATTCATCTCCTATATTAGAAACTCTTTCCTTATTGATTTCCTTTGTTTTAATACCAAACAAGGTAGGAAGCAGTACCATAATTCATTAACTCGTACCAACATATATAAGCATTCATTGATGAATATGATTAGCCACAAGAAATTAGTCTCTCTTTAGGCAATCCGGACCAAAGAACTTGCTAAATAATAGTCACTGATATAAATGAATTTCATAATTTCTGAGGAATTCATTTGAAATGAAGCATTTTTGTGTTTGGTATTTAAAAGAATTCATTTTCAATTCTAAAATTTTGAATTCCATGGAATTGGTACTAGTTATAGCAATTCCGAGGAATTGAGATGGAATTTCCGAATGAATTCCACAACTTTTTACTAAATTATAATAGAATGACATAATTATCTTCTTTATTAACTAAATTACTTATATATATATATATATATATATATATATATATATATATATGACATACCAAATATATATATATATATGGTGACTTCTACGGTGCCCAGGGCAAAATCCAGGTACGGGTACCTTGGCCGATCTTAACCATTCATTTTCAATCTCTACGGCTCACGTTTGTTAAACCTAACTGCGCCACTAAATAACTAAACAAATTACAAAAAGGCTCCTGCCGCGTTAAGTTTGTTTTCATCCTAGTCCAACTAATTGCCCCGATTAAATTAAATGGATTAAGACTGCAAACCCAATTGGGTAGACCCACTGCCGCCCAAACCAATTTCCAGTCTCCCTAACCAATTACACGATCCCTCTCTCGTCTTGGAGGGACGCCCCTTCACAGTTCCAAGAGAAGCTCCCCATCCAATTTGAACTCCCTTTTTTTAATCATCTTTTTGAATCCCAATTACTTGCATCCACATTCGACGTATATTGAATTTCCCAAAAAAAATTTGTCTTGTTTCTTCTTCGCCATTGTATTTCCCCTCGCCTATCTCTTTCTAACACGATTACGGCGACCATGTCTATTATTGTGTTCATCGAACTTTTCATTTGCAAAATAACCCTTGAAAGAGGTTTGCTAACCCTAGGGTTCATGTCACTAGTGCTTTGTCATCTTGTCTTAGCGTTATTGTGATTTTCTCGAACCTTATATCTCTCGGTGAAATTTAGGTTTCCTAATATGTAGTGTTCGTCTCGCCCAGAGGATTGAGGAAGAAGATGAAGAACACATAATTTGATTCGAATCGGATGGAGAGGTCTCCTTAGTTTGTGTTTATGTATTAACGGTGCGTTTAGGACTAATTCTAGTTGGACTGGGTCTGATCATCGATTTTTGCAGGCTTTTAAATAACATTCAAACGTGAGCTTGTACATGACCCATGCAATATTCAAAAGTGGGCCTGGAACGTGCGAGCCCATTAGTTTTCTCCTGCGGTATCAGTGCCAACCCTAGTTTAACTAGCTTTAGTTACCCTAGTTTAACCTACACGAGTTAACATCATCATTACTACGTATCTTCCCAAATCTTCTAACTCTTGACATTCAAGACTCAACCGTCTCCATCACACGTCTCCACACTCAACCCCCACGATCACTTTTTCTTACACCTACAATCTCTCTTTCCTCCATCTTCACCTTCCCTTGTTCCTTCTTCCTCTGACTCCATGGCAAACAAAGGCAAATCGTTTGCGGATATGGGCATACTAACTCTATCAAACGACGACTGCCGATCCACCCCAAGTCTCGCGGACTATCTTTCATTCACGAGCAAGACATCTATTGTGGCCGAGTACGAGTTCATCCACCTGAGTCCTTTCCCTCAAGAAGTGAAGCAGTTAATTAAAAATCTTGGCTGGGAAAAGTTCTTTGATCTCCGGAGTCGAGGAAGCACCAGTTACTGCCCGCATGTGGTGAGGAAGTTCTACCACAATTTAGAGTTGTCTGGTCCCTCCGATTCTCATCTCGTGTCGGTCTTCCTGGGTTATAGAGCCTGCTTCCAGCCTCATCAGTTTGCTGAAATCCTCGATCTCCCCGCCGCAGGACGCCACATTGATAGCAGAAGCGATCTTCGGCTGTACGATTTTGAGTTCGAAGTTGAACTGGCGAAACTGACGAATGGGCGCATCCAGGCTTCTTTCCTCCCAGATCCTCTTCGATTCCTCCATTGGATGATCGTCAACTGCTTAATGCCAAGGTACAGTGGTCATTCGATAATTCGTAAACTTGACCTGTTTATCCTTGTGCAAGCTCAAAGAGGTGTTCCTCTTAACCTCGCATCTCTCATGTGCCTGAACATGGTTGAGGCTGCTCCTAGAGGGGAAAACTGGTACACTGCCTTTCCATATGCCACCTTCTTGACCACCTTTCTTGGAAGGGTTGGGATGGATATGGGGGTTTATGCTAGGGAGGACCATTCCGCCTATTTGCCAGTCTACCGTATCGTCGAAGTGACCAATACTTTTTATGACCTTCGGCATACGGAGCATGAAGAGACCCCTGAGGCATCCTCAAGCAAACGTCCTCGGCTTACATGAGAGTCGATTGATGCAGGGCGGGGTGGAGCAGTGAAGGGGCCAGCATTGGATGTGTTTTGTTAAGAAGTTTACTGTAAGGCTTCGTTGTTTTTTTTTTTTCCAGTCTTTTTCTCCAGCACTCAAAACTGTCAGGTACTGAGGGGAGCCAGTACATCATCTCACTAGGAAAGTCTCCCATTTTTTTAATTATCCAGACAAATATTTTTCTATGCATGCAGTATTTTGTGAATTTGCCATGGCTAATTTCCCTAAGACAGGTGACGAGATGCACTAATGGTCATCCCTAAGCAAGGAGGTGCAATTGCATCCTACACTTGCTATGATGTGAGAAGCTATTGCAAGGGTGCAAATTTGGTTGCAATTGAAATTGGCCCACGAGTGGGGACTATTGATGAAATTGCAATGTTTTCTCAAAATTATAGAAGTGGAAGTAGGGACTACCTATGAAATTGCAAATGAATTTCATTGGGGGAGATTTTAATCCGCTTTTGTTCTAAGCAGTTCCAATTAGGTTGATTATAATAATTTTTTATCTATGGTGATTTTTCCCCCTTTTTCATCAAGACTCATGCTTCTTTTATCCCCCTGTGGATCTATCATGCTTCGTTTATAGTAAAATATCCTTTTAATTATACACAATAAAGAATCCATTAATTATGTATGCCTTTTTATTGTATTTATTACTACAATGAATTCTCTGACTAAAAGGGGTGTGAAAACATCGTTGGTGGAATGAAATTTTGTTGGATCCATTACAAGTCAAAGCTAAAGGTTCGGGGGCTAAAAAATCTAAAAGGAAGAAAGGAGAACCACGACAGTGTAGCAATTGCGGTGAATGGCGCCACTATAGGACCCGATGCCCACATCATGTTGGCTATGTGAAGCCAACCTCAAACGGTGATGCCCCGAATGATGGTGTTTCGGAAGAAGGTGACGGTGGCGATGACACCGATGTTGATCCTCCCACCACTCAAGATCAGTCGGAAACAGTACAGAAGAGAAGGCAAAAGCATTGCAGTAAGTGTGGTTCTACCAATCATAATGCAAGAACGTGTACTGGGTCTGGGCCATCCGATGATGAAAATGACGATGACGACGATTATGAGCAACCTAGGGTAAGAATAAGATATAATTGTTCGTGTCTACACAATGCAGTTGCATCCAATATTTTTGGACGTCTAAAATCATCGTTATCGATTTTGCAGAAGAGGCCTGTTACAAGAAGTAGCAAACTAAGGATTGTTGAAAACTTGAAGTGAAGATGGACGTCCTTATCCTATTCGGATTAGGACCAATGGACTATGTGAAGACTGCCAGTATCAGCTTGAAGCGGCGTCGTTTGATTTATAAGAAGACTGTTGCCGTCTGCGGTGTCGTTTTACTTGTGTGTCGTTTTAAGTATGTGTCTCTTTTGTTTATAAGAAGACTACTGCCTTCTACGGTGTCGTTTTATTTAGTTCGGATGGATTTGATTGAATTCGATATGGAGGTTGCTCCCTAAATAAATCATGTGCAACATTTCAGTTGAATTATTTTTCTCACTCGTTTTTTTTTATTGAATTATTAGATCGGATTTTTTACTTGTTTTTAAAATTACTTAATTTTGGCTACTAAAATTATGAAATGTAATTTGGGCGTGAAATGACAAGAGCATGCGCCGACAGAGGACTTCTGAAAATGGTGGCAGTAATCAAGAAATAAACTACAGTATTTTTATTGAGTGAAAGATCCCTCACCGATATATTATTAAGATCTCAAACACTAAAAGTACAAATCTTGAAAAAGAAAACAATGTACTTTCCCTCCTCCAACTTTTATACTATACATATGGCAACTTTCCCCTCTTGTATATATTTTGGGAGCATGATCAACAAGTACGCGTCAATGTAGCCCAGAAGAACCATCATATGACGTAGGGTTCCACAACACCTATTATGGAATCGTAACAACATATGATGATTCTTTGGGCTATATTCAGACGGCGACTTATTGTCATTGCTCCC